GGAAACAAAGAGACCATACACTGTTATCCTTATTGAGAGAGCCATGAAGGACATCCACTATTCAGTCAAGCCCAATAAGAGTACAAAACAGCAGGTAAGGAGGGGCTTGGTTTGGTTTTGCAGTGCTGGGGTGGAACCCAGGACCTGTGTGTTGTAAGCAAAAGCTCTACTACTGAGCCACATCCTAATTCTCAAGTGAGTGGTTTTTAAAGTCAAGACTTCTATCCATGGATGTTATTTTCCCTAAAGAGATCATTAAAACACTGGGGCTGCGTGGAAGTTGCTCTATAGGAGGTTAAATGGGGTGGAGGGGAACAGGGATTGGGGTTACACAACAGGTAATTTGTTTAAACACAAATACACAGGACTCTTCTCTTCCTGTCCAAATCACACCTTTAAAGACAAAACTTGGATTTTTAAAGGGTTGTTTTTAACTCTTCTTTTTTAGATTTTATGTTTATATGTAATTTGTACACCATAAAAGTCATCCTTTTTAGATTATGCAATTCAGTTTTACAGAACTTTAGTACCTTTCTTGATGCTCTGTTTGAGAACATTTTCATCACACCCGTAAGAAAAAGTTTGTGTTAGACAGCAGTCATTCCCTATCTCCCATGCTCCACAAGCCACTGGCCACCACTGTCAACTTTGTCTCCCTGGACTTAGCTGTTCTGAACATTTCAAATAAATGGAATCATGCACTGTGTGGCCTTCCCAAGGTTCTTCTATGTTGTAGTACAGATCAGAACTTCATGGGAATTGTATAGGAATATCACATTTTATCTATCAGGTGGCAGACATTGGGTTCACTCTACCACTGAGCCATTTCTTTATGGATTCTTTTATTGACAAAAGAGTTCTTTAGTGATCCTGGATACTAGTCCTTTTAACACATGTAGGTTTGGAAATATTTTCTCCCACTTTGTGGGTTTTTTCAATTTCTAGGTATTGTTTTTTGAAACAGAATTTTTTTAATTTGATAATGTGCAGTTTTTCTCTTCTGTAGTCATATTCTTCCTGTCATAGCCAAGAAACCTTTGCCTATGCAGTCAATGAAAGCTTCCTTGTTTTTGAATACTGGTGGGTGGTGCCACAGCAAAAGTAAAGAAATGACTTTTGTCCTGACAGGCTTTAGAAGTGATAAAGCAGCTGAAGGAAAAGATGAAGATTGAACGTGCTCACATGAGGCTCCGGTTCATTCTTCCAGTGAATGAAGGGAAGAAGCTCAAGGACAAGCTCAAGCCGTTGATCAAGGTTATAGAAAGCGAAGACTATGGCCAGCAGCTAGAAATTGTG